AAGCTTCGTTAACCAAAAATAGTACAACGGAACGGGAATACCAATACATCGAAGGTCGCTAGAGGTCGTCGATTCGGATTACGCTGCTTCATAGAGGTAGCCTGAGAACAGGCTCTCTAGTCGAGGAAGTGGCGAAGAGAAAGCGGAAAGAAAGATTGTACAGTAGTTATTCTCAAACTGGCTTGGGGGGCGAATAACCTCTCCCCGGGTGGTGGAGATTTGGCCGCGTCCGAACAAGGAATTAATCTTAAACTGGCTTGGGCTTAAGTAATTCCTTCCCCGTAAATCTCCACGAGGTTTTTTTTTTCGCTTGTCTAGTTTTTTTTTCTGATTTTTCCCCAAATTGTATAGCCTTAATCATTTCCTTTTCTCTGTTTTCCGTATTTGTATAACTTTGTATTTCGCCAAAGAGAAAACAAAAATGTATTTTGCGGCACTATTAGCCCCCGTGTTACATTTAAAGTTATTTTCCTATTCTTGGCTTTAACTTACTTCTACCTACATAGTTGATATTTAATTAAGGGCATTTTTAGTTTTGTTCCAACTTTTTCTGTTTTAATTTCTCTTCGCCGGTTTCTGAGGAGGTACCGAAAAGGTAAAAGATAGAGATATAGATACATGAAAAGAAACTTTATTGAAGTGTCAATGCCTTGTAGCCTGGGAAAATCCCATACTAATTTGGGCAAACAGGTTAAGTCTGCATACGAGCCAAGTGGCCCATCAGTCCGGAGCCCGGCCCGGTTTCTGTAGCATGAAGTGGCCAGCAATACAGTCAAATCCTTCTATAACGGCCACGTTGGGGACAGATGAAAGTGGCCGTTATGGGGAGCTAGGGGTGTAATAGGACACCTGTTTTCTCAGGGCGTGCAACATTTTTGTATTTAAAAACTGCTGACTGTAGTATATAGAAATACCTAACACAATCAAAGTAAATCATTAAAACAGAAACCAAACAGAAACAGAGACCAACGACTCAAGGTATGGATCAAGTTTCGGGACCTTTTACAAAATAACACGAGGTTTGGTAAACACCATTCGTCGGTCGGTGATTAATTGGCCGTTGTGGAGAGGTTATTTTGGTAGTTTGGGACGCGCTTTAGTGGCCGTTGCCGTTGTAGTTAAGTGGCCATTGTAGAGAGGTTAAAATAAGTGTAAATGTATGGACCATCAGCCGGGACGAAAAAAACTGGCCGTTGTAGAGAGGTGACCGTTGTAGGGAAGTGGACGTTAATGAAGGTTCGACTGTGCTTCTACTCCTCCTGGATGGGATGCCAGTCCATCACTGGATTATCCCCAGCATCAAATTCGATGGTACCCATTTATACACCTGGGTGGACAGAGGCACTGTGAGAGTTAAGTTTATTATATGGCCAGCTCTGTGAGCTGGCAAGATGAATCAAATCCTGCGCTGTGATTGGCTACCCGAGCGGGCAAGATGGAGTTATCTTGCCCGCCCGGGACTACCCGCCGTGTCCCACAAGAAAAAATTCCCCGAAAGCCATATAATAAATCCTTTATTGACCAAGCTTGTTCGGTCAAGATGACTGGATATTGGCCTCGTTCTTTTTTTGCGTGTTTATGGACCTCGACTCCGTCTCGGTCCATAAACACTAAAAAAAAAAAAGAACTTGGCCAATATCCAGCCATCTTGACCTCACACTTGGTCAATAACCCATAAGTCTTGCCCAAGAACACACAGACCGCTCGATTCAGAGTCGAGTGCACTAACCACCGCGCCCACTGGGGTAGAGTTGTACTTTAATATGTGCACTTGTGGTTCTTCTTTTACTTGTTGGGCGAGGGCGTTGTCTTGCCATATTTATTATTTTTCTTTGAATGTTTGTTCGCAGCTATATCATCAACAACAATAACAACAAAAGTTGACTCAATACCAAACACACCTCATCAAGACATCTAACCAAAAATTTATTTTCGTACCTACTGATAATTTATTACAGTTGAACATTACATAATTTTTCCTCTGATCTGTCATATATTAGGAGAGTTCGAGAAGTACAAATCTGTTGTAAATATCATGTAACATACAGAAAGTGTCCCAAACAAAAAGCGAAAAAGGCACATATAAACTAGTTACACTCTGAATATTCTTGGACAAGCCGTAGACAAATATTTTACACCTTATTATTGTACATTTGGCTCATAAATAATATATTATTTTACAAAGGGTCTATCTAGGTTGGAAAATTTGGGGAAAGAGTTGAGAATTAATTGAGGTATTTGCGGCAGTGCTTTGAACCACACAAGCATGTCAGCTTCTCTTCCTCAATTGGGAACTTGTAATCGTAGGTAAGCTCTTCACCTCTAGAGATACTGAAACAAAAACCATCAAATTCTTCGTTAATCTCATTCACAACGGACAGACCATTATTGTTTTCGAGGGCGGGGGCGATTTTCAAAAAAAAAAATCCCTGTGCAGTAAAAACTGCTGAACAAAATTAAACATAAAAATAAAATAAACACGTGCAAGGGGAGTCACGGGGAAAAAAATCGGGCAAGTACGTTCTAGTCTGTGGTTACTGAACTACATATGCTTCTGTAAGAAACCGAAATAGGTTCTTTATGTTCAAGCCATAGCTTGCACATGCGCTGAATCGTGAAATTTTCTCTTCAGTGAAATATACCATGAAGGTAAAAAGCACGTGACCAATCGAAACGAACCGCACGCTTTTACCTCAACCAACCACGGACAAAGCCAGAGGCAATTGTAAGCGACATGCACATTTTCCCGCGCTCTCTGCTAATTGGTCTAGTATCTGTCTACGTTTGTTCTGATTGGCCAGATTTGGTGTTACGACATCAACTAAGGTTTCCCGCCAACAAACATGCTAACAGTCAATCGTGTGCGAACTAAGGACGCGAAAAGAAAAAAATTGTTTATACCTTCTGGCGGCGAAGATGATGATTTTCTTTTGACCATCCACGGTTATGACACGAGAATAGCAGTTAGACTGAAAAGCAAAAATCAAAAAAAGACAAAAATTTCGTAAGAGTAACGAAGAAAGCAGCCCAGCCACGGTCAAATCATGGTACACTTGAATAACATGGAATACAATACAGCGAAACGCGTAGTCAAATTCCACTCCATTAAATCTTTACCGGTGTTGGTTTTCTTAATTCACAACCAATGAAAATACCTGCGGGAGCGGTTGCTGTTTCTCTCGCTTTCTTGGCTGAACAAGTTTGGAAAACCAACAGAGTAGTCACAACGAGGAGTTTTGCTTCGCCAACAATCAGCAAAAGCACAAGGGCCCATACAAACAGAGAGAACCAAGCGCAAACACAGAGATCAAACATTTCCACAATTGTGCTTACGTTTCTCTGTGTTTACATGAACCCTTGCGCTTGCCCTAAAGTTTGTGTCGCTAGTGAAAATCTACCTTGGTTCAAGAAGCTTTCTCTTTTCTGTTTTACAATCAAATGTAAGCCGCAATGCCGTGGCGGCTTCTCCACTTTAAAAAAAAGCTTAAAAAGGAAAGAAAACCTCTGGAACCAGGGTATGGAATACCAAGCTTAGGTCAACTGGTTTTGTTGCGGGGGTAATCCAGAAGGAAGTTGGTATTCTCACTGTTTAAGGAAAAATTCAGCTCAGATTCAAATTTCAACCTTCGCAACGATATGCGACTTCTTTTCTGTTGGGGCTGAGATTTCTACATTAATTAAACTGTACTAAGTGGAGTCCAGTACCTCGCAAGAATGATTGATGAAGCGAGCAGCGTTGCCGCACATTGTGGCGTCGACAACGTACGTTCCGTCCACACGAAACATGTAACATCCGATCCCCTGAAAAACAAACACATGCAATGAACGTAGTCAGACGACAAATTCCAGTTAACGAGTTTGTCTCGCGGTCTCGAAGATCATTTATCTGCCTCAGCTTTCAGTTTCGGCAAATATTTGATCTGCTCGCCAATGACAAATCAGAGGCGAGAATTTGAGAATTTAACATTTCTCGAGTTTCGTCATACTCTTTCATTTGATTTACATGTTTTTTTTCCCGTTAAATCCACTATAAACGCTACTATTACTAACACATTCAATATTCCCTTTGTTAACGTTATTGAGTTGGTATAGAACAGTTTTCAGTTGAGTGACGAAAAACCAAAATCAGAGTAATGACAAATTACAAAGACAATACAGAGAACCAATCAAAACTCAAAGCAAATACTAACTACACATTGCTTTGGACATTAAAATGAAACTGCTCCAACACATAGTATATAGTTGTTAGTTAAGTGTTAGACTAAAGATGTCTTACCTTGCTCTCGTAGTACTTCTCTCGTTTGTCGGTGAGAACCGAGCGGACCAGCATTCCAGAATACTCGATCACCATCTCACCCGCGGCGATATTGCGAGTGCAAAACAAGCCACGCCCGTGAATTGGAGACCTTGGTTGAAAGAAAAAGACATTTACTTTCTAAATCCCTGTTTTAGGCTTTCAAATCTTTGGATTCAAGAGCGAAAAAGCTCATGAAAAGGGCCGTAACTTTGCACCAGCAATTTTCATTGACCGTGGAAAGTAACTGTGTCTTGCTTTCGTTTTACATTTTCTCGGCTCTGTCACAGGT